TTATATATATATATATTATATATATATATATATATATATAATATCATATATTTATATCATATATTTTTATATATCATCATTTGCGATTATATAATTCAGTATTGTTTTGTCATAGGTTTGCTTGTGTTGAATATTAATACCTAGTATATACGTATATTCTAGTCGACACTTTCGAAACACAGTGCATACTTCTCCTCATTTGCATCGTTATCTCAAACGTGACCGTATGATTGTTATATTTTTGCGGTATTATCTACTAATCCCCGTGCTGCCTAGTGGTTCAGCATAATCCAGTGGAACTATTACCCGGATTAAATTTGTATGTATACTTTTGTTGCTGTTGTATCTGTTCCGTGTGTATAGTAAAGCGTATCTGACCACATGAGTGAATATCTGTTAATTTAGATTATACCAAATGCTGCTTATGTACCCCGAAAATATTAATCACGGATAGTTCTTGCTGGTAATTCAGAGCCAGGTCATGATTCCGTTAGGCATATGTGTGTTATATATGACGTTTATCATTTATTTCTTCAGAGGGGCGCAGAATAGGTCTATTTCTCTACCAAGGGGTAGGTAGGCCTGTCCGTCACACTGTCCAACGACCAATCAATCGCACGCTTAAGCTCATATTCCATTGTCTCTGTGTATTGTCCTCCACCGAATTGTAACCAATGCGTCTCATAAGTTTAGTTGGTTAATCCATGCCAGTAAGTCTAGTTGGTTAATCCATCCTAGCAAGTTTAGTTGGTTAATCCATTCTAGCAAGTTTAGTTGGTTAATCCATTCCAGTAAGTTTGGTCAGTTATTGTGTGTGGCGAGTTCAGCGTAAAGACATTTCATCGTCTTCCAGATCCACTGTCGAAAAACTCTGGCGCTTGGGGTGGAGTACTGTGTCATTAGTTTCGGGCGTTTTGATTGGCTCAGAGGGGGGTGTCGTCACTGGTGCGTGGGCACTGATTAACTGTTCAGTACTGGGTGACGTTATTGAACCAGTGTTGGTGACTCCGGTTGGGCTATATATAGATTCGGCGTTCGCGCTGAAAATGCTTTCTTGGCTGGGGCTATTCATACTCGCGAGATTGCTAGAGCTACCTACAATTTTGTTAGGGCTACCTACAGGATTGCTAGAGCTACCTAAAAGGCTGTTAGAACTATCTGTTCTCGAGATACTTTCACTCGAGGTCAATGCAGGACCGAATTGGGGCGTCTGAGTCAGCTGCCGCATCGGCCTATTAGTGGGTCTGGGTGGGACTGGTGATGTCATCGGCGACGACAGTGGCTTTGGGGAGTAGTGCGATGTGTCGGTAGATAGAATCTGTGATGACGTCATCTTGGATATTCGCGACGGCGATCGTGTGGACACGGGGGAGTGGTACTGTGGGGAGCAAGAAGTGGAGTGGAGAGGAATAATGGAAAGGGGTGCATGAGTCATCCGAAAAGCCGTTTATGACAGGTGTTGTACTTTACAGTGAGCGTGCTCGATATAATCTATAGACTTTAGAAACAACAGCAATCCAGGTGTGTGCCGTTGGTAGGTTGACAGATGTCGTATGTGTGTTGGGATGTTACTCATGTGTGTACAATCCAGAAGTAAACGGTGCCGCATGTGTTAGAGATGGTAACTTTACATAATATATATG